ATAACACAACAAATGTTTAAATAGAAGTGAAATAATAAACATTTTGACGTTAGGTGGTTGGTTGCATCGGTATTATCACGAACATTTGCCATCAAATCATAATGAGTGTTTGGCTGACATTGTCATTGCCTGCCTATATAATTGTTAAATAATTGTCTATTGAATACAGCCCAGAAAGTTATATTAAGTTGAACGAATGCTTTTGCGACACTTTAAATCACTGTCGAATATTCTACAAATGCCTGATAGGGTCGTTAGATATTGATTGGGCCAACTAATGAAATACATTTTAATGCGCATCGTCTCTACGTCGTTTTGATGAAATTAAACCTTTATCTGTAACCAAGCATGTGTCCGAAATATTTCACATTTTCATATTAAATTTGATCATAATTGCTAAAACTTGCTAACGTCTTGCTCTCGCTTAATTAATAAACTTTTCATTGAATGCAGGCCTGTGCATATATACGATCTTCTTCAGATATATTACCGATAAACGTGCTTAATAGTTTAAAAAACCTATGCAATATATATTTGTGTAATATGTCTACGCATTACACATTCGCTATCGCATAGTGTGAGTGTAACATTTATCAATTAATTGCAACGTATCGCGAGATACGACCAAGATAACCGCACACCGACAAGCCATGCGTAAATTTGACTGATTTAAGTAAATAAAAAAGTTAATCTACGTTTTTTTTTATTTCAGCTTTAAAAAAGGATGCTTATCCTTATGTACGACGTTGCGTGATAGTGCTCTTATAAATGTTTGAACATTTTTATAAAACATGACATGAAGATGTTTCCCCGCGAATATAGTGATGACATACGTGGCATATAAGCCGGACATTTTTCCTTTCCTCTCTTTTATTTTTATTTTTTATTTAATCTTTTCATTGTATGCGTACTGCATAAGTAACTGCATAAGTGTATTTTTGTTTTTTTTTTTTTTTTTTTTAAGTATTTTGAAGATTTATTTATTATGAAAACAAAGATTGAAAAGGAAAGATTAGAGATTGGCTGTGATTGAAAACATTGCAAAGAAATAATAAATAAATAATTTTTCTTGTTTTCTAATTTACAGACTAAGTTAATATATATATATATATATATATGTATTGATATTGTTATTGTAATTTTAAAGCATTTCGTTTTATCTATTAATTACAGATGGAGTTAATTATCATATTTGCCGCGTATGTATGACAATAACTACGAACACGGCTCTGACATCATTACCATGTAATTGTTAGCAATATTTTGATGTTTAATATTAATATGACAAAATAAACATAAACAGAATAAAACAAAAAAAAATGTTAACTTTTTTTTTTTTTTTAACTTCATTTTCTGATGCTACAACTACTAATACATAAGTTGAACGCAATATTGTCACCAACAACCGCCACTAATTATCAAGTAACGAATCTCATCAATAATATCGACATCAGCAACAATAAGAACGACTAAGCAACTATAATAGAGTGTGTGTGTGTGTGTGTGTGTGTATGTGTGGCAGTAAAAAATAAACAAAGAAAACTTAAAGTTTATAAGAGAAAAAAAAAAAAAACTTTGATTGTTTTTTGGGTTTTTCTTCTTTACTTTTTTTTTTTTTTTTTTTTGATTTTTGCTTAACAAGTAATCAAAATAAACAATTAATTAAGAAATAATAAATAAAAGCAAAAATTAAAACGAAACTTCACTTTAACACGATTTCTCAATTACGAGGTAAATAAAAAAAAAAACAACGTTACGTGCAAAACCAGCAAATTTATTAAAACTCATCATCATCTGTTTAACTCTTAACGATTTGTCTAAGCAACACATTTCGTTTTTTTTTTTTTTTTTTTCTAATTTAAAGCAATAATTAAAACTAAAAACCATACTGTGATATCAAAAACCAAAAGGTAAGTGCGAAATACTTTTTATTTATACATGTTTATAGACATATATATATAATGTTAGTATTTAATATTTATTCATTTATTTATGGTACATTTATGCTCTCCATGTTTACGCTTCCACAATAATTGAAAAGTTCATATGAATGAAAAATTTTGTTTTTTTTTTTTTTATTATCGTGAAGTTTGTGCGGATCTATGCAGCACACAGAAGGATCGGAAATAGATGCAACTTTTATTCCTCCGTTCGACTAAGGATCATTTTCTGAATCGAGCTGAGCTTGTTTGTCCGCTTCGAATTCTTCGAATTGGAATCTCAAGGTCGCAATTTTTGAGACGAAGACAAACTCCACTGAAAATGGTTGATATCTTCAACTTCACTTTTTCGACAACTCCCCATGAAAGAAATTACAAATTGTAAAATTTTCGACAACACTCGCTGAGTAATAGCACTTTGACATTCGAAATTAATGGGGAAAATTTGGTTCGACTAGGCCAATTTTCTGAATATCCTCACATCTAACCGTTCGTACGAAACCTGAGTGCTTATAGAGGAAAAGAGATCGCATATAACGATTCTCATGAAATGTAAACTCTTGAATTTGTCCATTTGAGTAATTTGACATTAAAATTAAGGCGACCTTGGACGTCAATTCATATAAGATTTCTCATAAATGGTAAGCCCTTCCGAAAAATGTTTAATTCTCAATATTTTATGATTGCGATTGAGCAAACAAAATTAACGGCACGGAATTCGAACCACTTAGATCTATTTTATAGATTCCCAGATATATAGAAGTTATTATGAAAAGCAAGCGCTTATATGGTGAGAAAGATCAATTTCTAGTTTCTTATGACGGAAACTGCAAAAGTTGTGTAGTTTATAAAGTCTGCAAAATTTTGGGGCAAACCATTTGTTGCTTTGGACATCCTCCGATATCCTCCTACTTCACGAGAAAATTAACTTTTCTTAAAAATAATGTGTAATTTTTGGTGTATTATTACGAAGACGAATAACGAAGTGAATAACTATACTAGGCGAAATTGTGTAGGATATCTAATCGGTCGGCCTTGATCGACCATAATATTCTTACTTGTTTTTATTTACTTTCTAGAATGACTTAACAAAAGCCCCATTTAAAATACATATGGTTAATTGAAAAATTCATTGAGCTGATCAAATACAGTAAGTTTACAGCAGCACAACAAGATCAATAAATTTTGTTTCGGCGTTTCGGCTACGGAAGACGCCAGGATAGTTACACTAGTCTTCTTTACGCTAAGAAATAAGTCATTTGCATATGGATGATAATGTCTAATTTTCTTTAATGAGAAATGACCGCAAAGCATGTAAAAAACTACACTTCCCACTCCAGTTGCATTGTAGAGTTTCCTAAGAGAAAATCCTCGAAAGCCTAAGAACCATAAGAGCTTTGTCTTTTTTAATTTCAGAGTAGTATTCGTGCTACTCAGGTAGGAATTTTCGAGGTGCAGGAATAGGTAAAAGTGACTATTTCAAGAAGACATGTCGGGGAGCCAGTGAATCATCAGAAATCATCGATCAGAAATCCGTTTATTCTTCTATCTTATACAATCTCTTTAATTATGAAAAATGTTAAGAAACACTTTAGCTCTTTCAATTTTGGACGTGACTCACTTTGTACGCAATTAAGCCTTAATGGTAAACTCAATTTTCACCGATCTTCCATTGAAATGAGTTTGAAAAAAGGAAATTTTACCTGATGTCATCTTTAATACGACTTGCTTGGCACATAGCTTTCTCAATTTTTGCCTTCAAATGGAATATTCATTGCTCTAACAATCCCGCTGAAAATGACTGTTGTATATCGAATTAAAGACAAGTTCGCTAGATGCGGTGATTGAAGTAAGCGTTTTTTAGAAAAACGAACTCTTCTAATATATATTATTATTTCACTATAGATCTCCAATGCCTTTAAGTCATTTAATGTAACGAATTTTTGCCTCTGCACGATTTTCAATATCCACCATTCTATTGGATCACATTTTTAATGTGTTTACAATAGTTATAAGGACTTAACTAAAAAAGCGATTTTAAACGCTAGTCATGTTTGCATCAAGTCTTTTCTTGCACTGTACCAGTCGCTAAAGCTAACTTTACAACAAACTTGTTATAAGTATGTCACTTAAGTCAATGGTTATAGAAGGTGTTCATTTACAGGAATTTACAGGAATACGTTAACGAGCTTCCGGCGTTTATTCAGTACATGCTTAAATTGAATAAATGTAAGAAGACATTGACTTTCCGTATGCGACCTTTCCTATCTAAAATTCTCTGTATTAAGAATTTTAAATGGGACCAAGTCTCTTAATTTTCTTATGTCGACAACCCCTTTGGTAGAAAGCTTCGTTTTCACGTTCACATAGACCTTTTTAAATAATAAAACGAAAAGTCTGCTAGACTTCATCATCTAATCGTCTTAGGTATTTATCGAGTGTTACCTAAAGACAAAATTAAACTTGAATTTGTTCAGATACGTTCTTCAACACGTTTCAGTAGTTCGGTCTCTTAGTTATCAATTGAATTTCGTCAGAAGCAGTTCTTACTATATGTGCCACGTAGCCTTGGTTGGGATCCTTGGTGCGGTTCTTGCCACCGCACAAATTTAGCCTTAAATTAATTGATTTAGGGAGAATCGCGCGACTGTGAATAAAAAACCGTTTTTTCCGTTTTTTTTTTTTAAGCGATTAAAATCAGTCTGTGATATTTACGGAAAATCAGTTCTAGCGAAACCTAGTTTTTTGTTTTCTTTTAAAATTTTATGAGAACTTAACAATGTCATCAATAGACTGATGCATAGACGGACAGAAATAGATAATTTGGTATAGTATTTAGCTTTCCAAATGAAAAAAATTAAAATTTATCGTCCTGGACGGTGGGCATATAAATGTAACAGCGCTAATTCGAAGCCGCTAAACCCTTAACCCATACCCGCATGAGTATCCGAATAGGCAAGAGTCGCAATTACCAAGACAGAGTTCACGGGTTCAAATCTGAATGCGGTCGAGTGTACTTTGGTCGTAGCCATAGCGAGCGCTCAGTCGGCCCATTTACCGGTTGGGCAGACACCCACTAGGCTTGACTCTTCACTATCTCTTTGCCTTTCATTATTTTTTCCCGACCATCACCGCATTGCACAGGAACAGGAGCTATTCCCTGAGTGATCGGTCATTTATTTATAAAAGAAAAGAACCCGAAGAACGCAAAATGAGACATAAGAATAGTATGCAGTTATTCGTACTTATTAAAGATTAATTGTTGCCCACCTACCGAGCGCGATACAATTATGAAAAATAATTTATCGAAATTTTTCTTATTAATATTTATTAAAAATTTAACAGTATGCTAATTGTAAACAGTGTCGCTGAAAGTTATTATATGAAAAAAAAAAAAAAACACAATCCACATGTTATCGACACCCCAACAAGTTAAACATTTTAACATGTCGATTATTGTGTGTTTGTTTAGATTTTCTAGATGTAAACATTTCAGGAATGCCATTAAATGCAAAGGCGTGATCAGAATACAAATAGATTCTAAGATATTCAAGATAAATGATAACAATGCTTCCAATCGATTGAAACAATAAATAGATGATTACACACATATCATTAAACTCCGCGATACAATTGTTAAATAGTCAGCTAAATAGTCATACGTAACTTTATATCATACAGTACAGTAAAGAAGAAAAAAGAAAATATGTTTTTTCTTTCTCTTTTACACACACGACACGTAAGAAAATTAAATTCGGTCAAGACCGAATCTTTTATACCCATCAACGTTTACCATAAAAAATACAAGAGAAAAAAACGGATAAAATTTTCATGCTCTACACTATAGAGCGAACGCAGTTGATTTCTTCTATTTTCAAAATAAAAGTTTTTGTCATAGAGGCATGTTGGCGTTGTAGGCGTGTCCTTTGAAAAGATTAGGTCAATTCTAAATTTTTTCTTCAAATTTTTAAGCGATATTTTGAATTTCGCCAACGAGAAAATGTTTACAACAAACACTGCACAGTTGACCAGACGGACAGATGGACAGAAGAACACGCGGACATGTTTAGGTGTATTCAAGGGTTGCTACAGCCAAAACGTTTGCATACTTCATGGGGTTTTTGAAGCTTATTTCTGCGTGTTGTAAAAGTATTGAAAAAATAATTCCATTTTGATACATTACAATATTGAGTAGGCGTGGTCAATTTTTTTTGCATTTTTGTGCACAAATCCTACAGCATCGCCTTCAAAACCTATCCTACAGCATTGCGTTCAAATTTGTATACATTTTTTGTACATTTTGTGCTACAGTTTATGAGTAATGAGCAAGAAACCACTTTTTCATTCCCTTTGAAAAATAGAGGTCTTCTCTGTTATCCTTCGATCGATTTGGCCCATTTTCAATACAAACCTGCGTGCAAAAACTTCTAATGTTCTGCCAAATTTGAAGTTGTAGCTTTATTGTTGCAACCAGAAGAACGTTTAAAACAGACATTACACAGACGGACAGACGGACAGACGAACAGACAGACATTAAATCGATTTAGAATTTAATGCTGATCAAGAATATATATATGCTTTGTGTGATCTATTATGCTTCCTTCTGCGCGTTGCAAACGCTTTGACAAAATGAATATACCCCTCATCCTTCAGTGATGGGGATAATAGCATAAATTGCTTATCGTATTCAAAAGAAAAAAACGTGTTTAGCGAACGGCAGCAGGAAAACACTTTAATTACGTATTAGATTGTTAACAGTCTTCAAGACGTCAATAGCAAATATTTCGCATAAATATAATTAAATATTAAAGATTTGCTTCAAACTAACTCCGTTTCTTATATTCAGCGAATTGATTCATTTCGATACGGATAGTAGTGAATGATGCTAATAATCGAGATTTGACATTTTGCACTTTTAACAAATCTAAATATTGTCTCTTGTTCTTTCATGCACGATATTTTATTTACGC